GGAAGGCAGGATGGGATTACTAGTGAGTAGTTTTCCCTCCAGCTTCTTTTCAATAAACAACTTTATTTTTAGAGCTGACGCTTTTTTTTTTTTTTCCTCCCCTCTGCAGTATTAAAATTTAAATATTCTTAATATATCTTAGGGTATGTGGTATAAATAAATAACAGCGTAATGAAGGGCCGGGGATTGGCTGTGCTCCCCCGATGTAGTGGGGAATGAATTATGGATGGAGGGAGAGAGAGGAGAGGAGCTGTTAGTGCAGGACAGCACGTGCTAGGGAGGGAATGTGTACACTGGGGCAGCACCAGGCCCTGTCCCTCGCTGCCCTTTGGTCCCTGTCACCAGTGTCCCCGTGGTGGCGTCCCGGCTCTCCGTGCACGGGGGTTGGAAAGGCAGCCTGACCTAGAAAGGCAGATACCTGTATAATTATTTAGGTGTTGGAGAGCTTTTCCAGGGCAGGGGAGGGGACAGCCACATCCATCCACAGCCCCCCCTTGGCTTGATGGTGATGAGAGCTCTGCTGGCAGGGATGGGGAATCTCTCAGATTCTCACTGGGCTGTTCCCCCTGGCACTCCCAGCCTCCCTGTGTGGGGTGGGAGCACCGGGACAGCCACACTCACCGGCCTCTCCTGTGTTTGCTTGCAGCCACCTGAACGCCGTGGAGCTGGGAGTCGCGTCCTTCTGGCTGCGGGTGGCGCTGGGGGCAGCGGTGACAGCGCTGGTGGGCTTCACCCTGTACCGCCTGCTGGCCAAGAACAAATGAGAGCCACGCCCTGCTCCGTCCCGTGACACCGGCTCCCCGGCCCCAGCGACGCCCAGAGGGGCCCCGCCTCAAGCTGGCCCCTGGTAGGAAATCCTCCTTTGCCCCCAGCCTGGATTGCAGGACCAGTGAAGCCAGACCAGACCTCCCAGCACCAGCAGGATGCAGCCCTGGCACCGGGCAGCCTCACCCTGTGGCCTCCTGGCCCCCATGGCCACAGGGCAGGCAGCTCTGCCAGGAGAGCTCTGCCTCACCAGCAGCTGGAGGATCTCCCTCATCTTTTATTCTGTTCAGTTTTTTAACGCTTGTTTTTAAGCTCAAACACGAGTGTTTCAGTGTCTGTTGGACTGGGCACATCCCCTCCCCAGAGGGCTGTGCTGGTGCCCTCAATTCTGGAGGGCACAACGCTCCCGGGGCCCCGGGGAGCTCCAGCAGCAGCTGAGCTGTCAGATGAGCTCATGGCTGCAGCTCCCTGGGGCACAGCTCCAGCTCCTGTCCCGGTTTCCCTCAGCCAGGGCTGGCATAGGGAGGGAGGGCCAGGCACTGACACCCCCAGCCCAGTGTGAGAGGTCAGGCCTGGCCCCTCCTGCTGGGCCACAGTGGCTGCTGTCCTGGCCTGAGGGGGGACAGTGACAACCAGGGTTTGTCCTGAGCTCCTTTCTGTTGGTTCTACTCAAAAATCTTGTGAGTCCTGCAGCGTGCCAGGCTCCAGGTCCATCCACTCTCCTTCCCTGGCTCCTGTTTGTCCTATCCCCACCCCTGGCCACCAGTATTCATGGCCAGCAGTGCTTGCAGGGCTCTGGGAGCCCTGGTAAGGACTGGGAGGGTGTTGGATGCCCACTGTGTGCCCAGTCTTTCCCTGGCAGTGCCATCACTGAGCTGGTGCCACATTGTGCCCTAGGCCCTGTGACCTGCTGTCCCCTCTGTGGGGCCCTGGCCAGAGTGTGAAGCTCTGGGCATTTCATCTCCTGGCACCACTGGAAGCTCCTTCCTGTCCTGTCCCCTGTCCCCTGCCCACACCTGAGCTGGTTTCATTTGCTGGGACTGAGCTCAGTCCCTGTCTGCAAGTCCCAAAGAGCCAGGCCAGAACCATCCCTGGGTTCCTGTCCTCCCAGGGGAGCCTGGATCTGCCCTGGCTGTGCCACCAGCCTGGCCGTGTCACCAGCCTGGCCGTGTCACCAGCCTGGTCTTCCCCAGCACGCTCAGGGTTGGTCTCCAGGCAGCTGCAGGGGCAGATCCTAGGGTAGCACCCAGAGCTGCTTTTTCTGTGTTTTGTCTATTTAAATGTTTTATGGTGGCCTGGAGCCAGCGAGGGGATGGAGGAATTGCTGGGCAGCGCTGGTGTCTCTCCCAGGGACAGCCCCAGGGTGGTGTCCCCATCCTGCTGTCCCCAGTGCTGGCTAGCTGGGTGTCCCTGCCTGTGCTGGAGCTGCTCTGCCAGTCGGGCACACACTCACTGCTGGCCCCTGGCACTGCCAGGGCCACTCCCTCGTGCTCAATGTCCTCCTCTGTGCCCACCGTGCGTGGCTCTGCCAGCCGGGCCCGTGCCTGGTGTTGGTGTCTCCCTGCTCCACATCTGCTGGAGCTGTAATGTTTTAGTTTGTTCTCTACAGCAAAATAAATTTTTACACACCTTGTGCTTGCACACCGTGTCCTGTGTCACCTGGGGAGCAGGACCCCTGTCCCTGCCCGGGCTGCAGGGGGAGCAGGGCCACCCCGAGAGCCTGGGCTGCCCCACCCGAGGGCACTTACAGGGATTTGGGGCCTGGTGTGGTGGGACAGGGCTTGGGGCTGGCCAGGACTCCTTGGTGCTTGGGGACAGGGATCCTCACACAAGTGCCAGCCAGGGTGCAGAGACAGGGGAGGAGGTGATGGATCCCGTGGTTCTCTGCTCAGGATCCACGGGAAGGGGGAACTTCGGCTGCCCTGGGAGCTGTGATCTCTGTGCCCATCCCTGTGTGGGGTTTGGGGCTCCCCATTTCCCTGCAGTCTCTTTCCCCCTGTACCTGCAGCTCCCAGGGCTGTGCCACCTCCCCTCCCTGCTCCTGTTTTCCCATGGCAGCTTTTCCCTCAGCTATTTCTGTCCCTGCCTCAGCCACGGGCGCTGGGCACAGGGAATGTGGGCGCAGCCAGAGAAAAGGATTTTCCAGAGCCTCTGCACTGGATGGGGTGGGACTGCTCCCACATGGGGGGGATCCTCGTGGGGTGGGAGAGGAGACCCTTCCCACAGGGCCAGCCGGGGGACAGGGAGGGTGGGGACACAGCCGCGCTGCCGTGCGGGCACAGGAGGCGGTGCAGGGCGGACGGGACACGCGGTGCTCCCTGGTGACTCCAAACCAGGCTGCATCCCCCGGGAGCTGCGGCCCACGTGCCCTGCTGGGTATTCATAGCTCTGGTGTGCGGGGCACGGGCGCTGTGCTGGGACAGACACGGGTGTGGGGCTGGGCACACGCCTGGCAGGGCCATGGGACCCCAGCCGCGGCCACACATCCCCAGGGAAGGGCCTGGCGTGGCTGGGCAGCCCAGAGCTCCCTGGGCACCTCAGTGGGGCTGAGCCGCGGCTCTGGGAAGTGAGGATGGTGCCAGAGATGGCTCCTGGGGACACCCCTGCACTGCTGGGGATCCAGGGGAGCCTGGCCTGGGTGGCACTGGGCACATCCCATAGAGGTGCCAGCTCCAGGGACCCAGTGCCAGGCTGTCCATGAGCACGGTGCTGGGGCAGGGGACAGCACTGGAGGCTCGATGTGCCATGGGGGATGTACCCAGGCTGTGCTGGCCTGGGGGTGCAGGGACAGGATGCAGGGAATGTTTGCAATCACCTGTGCCAGATTCAGCAGGTACCTGGTGCTGGCATGCCTGTGTCCATCCTGGGACACTGGTGTCTATCCTGGGACACTGGTGTCCATCCTGGGATGCTGATGTCCATTCTGGGACACTGGTGTCTATCCTGGGGTGCTGGTGTCTATCCTGGGGTGCTGATGTCCATTCTGGGACACTGGTGTCCATTCTGGGATGCTGGTACTGTACCAGGATATGGATTCCTCATGCAGGGTGCAGCTCCAGAGCCATGTACCAGGACGTGGGTACAGGAATACACAAACCTGTATTGGGATGCAGTACTGGAAATGGAATACAGGTTCCCATTCCAGGTGCAGAACTTGTACTGGGGTGCAGGAATCACATCAGGACCCAGGTCCCATGCCAGGATGTATCAGTGCTGGGACACAGGGATGACAGCAGGACCCAGGAACCATCAGTGCTGGGACACAGGGAGCAGGATGCAGGCACCCACAGCAGGATGCACAGAGCTGCTCTGGGATGCAGGAACTGGGCCAGGATGTGGGTACCAGTACTGGGATGTGAGTGCCAATACTGGGATGTAGATACCACACTGGGAAGCAGGTATCACTCCAGGAGGCAGTTCCATATTGGGGTGTGGGTACCCGTACTGGGATGCAGGTTCCCATACTGGGATGCAGATTCCCATACTGGGATGCAGATTCCCATACTGGGATGCAGGTTCCCATATCGGGATGCAGGTTCCCATACTGGGATGCAGATTCCTGTACCGGGATGCAGGTTCCCATACTGGGATGCAGGTTCCCGTACCGGGATGCAGGTTCCCGTACTGGGATGCAGGTTCCCGTACTGGGATGCAGGTTCCCATACTGGAATGCAGGTCCCCATACCGGGATGCAGGTCCCCATACCGGGATGCAGGTTCCCGTACTGGGATGCAGGTTCCCATACTGGAATGCAGGTCCCCGTACCGGGATGCAGGTCCCCATACCGGGATGCAGGTTCCCGTACCGGGATGCCCGCAGCCGTACCGGGATGCCGGCACTATCCCAGGCTGTGATCGCGGCTGTGGGCTCTCTGCCCGTGCCGTGGGCCGTGTCCCGGCGCTGCCGGCGGGGCGGGGCGGGGCGGGGCGGGTCCCGGTTCCCCGCGCGGTGGCGGCGGCGGCGGCGGGGGGTGCGGGGAGGGGGGGGCGCTGCGCCGCGCGCTGCGGCGGGGGCGGCTCCGCTCGGCTCCGCTCCCGCCCCCGCCGCCGCCGTCGCCCCGCTGCCATCGGCGGCTCCCGGCGCCGCCGCTCGCCGCTCGCTCCCGGGCCCGCCGCAACGCGGGGCTGGCGGGGAGAGCCGCCCCCGCCGCCGCCCCCGCCGCCCGCGCCGCTCCCCTGCCCGGCTCGCCGGCCCCGGGCGCGGGGGAGCGGCGGAGCCCTCAGCCCGCCGGGTGCATGGACAGGAGCTCCCTGCTGCAGCTCATCCAGGAGCAGGTGAGGCCGCCCGGGGGGCAGCGGGCACCGGGCAGCGCTCGGGGGGGGCCGCCGGGCAGCGGCCATCGCCACCGGGGCGGGGGTGCCCGCACGCTCCGGGCACGGCTGGCGCGCAGCGGGCACCGCTGCCCACCCAGGGCGGCCACCGCGGCCGTGCCACCCCCGGCAGCGTCCCTCGGTGCCCCTCGTCACCGCCCCGGGGACCCCCCCGCCCTGTGCCGCCGAGAACGCGCGGCTCATCTCACTTGTGGCCTCTCCCTCCGGCAGCGCCGGGTCCGATCCTGCCCGGGGCGCCCTCAAGGACGAGGGGTGCTGGGCACGGAGCCCCAACGCGGCCGGCGGGCTCTGGGTGCCGGATGGAGCCCCGGGGGTGCCTGGGCTCGGTCCCGCGGGCGAGGCGGGGGTCTGCGCCCACCCCCGTGACCTGATTGCGGGATGAGGCCGGGGAGCATCAGCGCTGCGCGGCGCGGGGCTCCGCTCGCCGCTCGGTGCGGCCTCGAGGGGGTTCCACCCGCGGCGCCCCGGCCCCCACCAGCCCCCCCTGAGCTCCATCGCCTCGTCCCTCCATCCCCACCCAGCCCTGGCCCAGCTGGCGGCTCTCCCTTGGGCACGGGGCAGGAATTTCCTGGGGGGCAGGAAAATGAACTGATCCCCACTCGCCCCCCGCTGTTTCTGTGACCTTGGCTGAGTCCCCCAGCCCGGGAGCCGCGGTGCTGTCCCCCGTGTCACCCCCTCGGGCACAGGGACTCCATGTGAGCCCGAGCTCCTCGGGAACGAGCAGCCTCATCCCCGGAATGAGCGGTGCTGGGAGGGCCGGGGGCTGGGGATTGGGCCCTCCAGGGGGGCGTAGGGTGCCAGTGAGGTTGGGGTAGGGGGAGATGCACCCCAAAAGCAGAAAGGGGCTCCCAGGCTGCTGACAGGGCTCTTGGTGCTCCTGGGGCCGGGGCCTCAGCATGTGCCAGCGTGGGGACAGCGTGTGCCAGGTCCCGGCATGACACACACACACACACACACACACACACACGTGGAGCCTGTGGGGTGACAGCCGTGGGGCTGGGGCACAGGTAACACCAGGGTGCCCCATGGCTGGGGCTGCTCCCGTGGGCTGGTGGCTCCTGAGAGGTTGAAGATGCTCCCTGCACCCCTCATCCCATCCTGTACCCTCATCCCACCCTGCTCCCTCATCCCACCCTGCACCCTCATCCCACCCTGCTCCCTCATCCCACCCTGCACCCTCATCCCACCCTGCACCCCGCTCCGGGCAGCCAAAGCCCTTGGTAAAGAGGCTGTGGCTGTTTCCTGCCGGGGGAACAGGGAGGGACAGGGTCCCCATCCGGTGGGGACACGATCCCATGTCCCAGGCGCTCCCTTTCCTGCCCATCCCACGAGGATCAGGCTCCTCTCCCGCATTTCCCTCCGTGCAGGAGCAAGGAGCAAACCCCACACGAGCTCAGGGTGACTGCAGGGGCTGTGCTCTGGCCGTGGGTGCCCCCTCCCCATCTGCGCCCTCCTGTGCCACCCCGGGTCCCTGTCCCCATGAGCGGTCCGGTCTCGGGCACCCCGTGGGGCGCTGGGTGCCCGTGGGCGCTGTCCCCAGAGGGCTCGGGGTGCCCAGCCCGCTCCGGGACCCCCAGGATGGCACAGGGTGCCCCGGGCAGGGCGCGGTGGATCCAGCGGCAAGGGCGGCGGGAGGAGCGGGAGGAGGAGGAGGAGGAGGAGGAGGAGAGGAGGAGGAGGAGGAGGAGGCTGGTGCCAGGGCTGCGCGTGTGTTTAGCTTGGTGGCTTCCTGGCTGGCAGGCTGCTGGCGGCGAGAAATAACTGAGTGGGAGAGTGTTGGCTGCTCCGCGGGGAGACGGGGACAGCGGCACGGCACGGGCAGCAGCGGGGCACAGGGGGGCACGGCACAGGGCACGGGGCACGGCCCGGGGCACAGGGCGCCTCTCGGGGCACGGGCAGCAGCGTGGCACAGGGCACCTCTAGGGGCACAGCACAGGGCACGGGGCACCTCTCGGGGTACGGGCAGCAGCGTGGCACAGGGCATGGGGCACGGCCCGGGGCACGGGGCACCTCTCGGGGCATGGCACAGGGTACAGGGCACCTCTTGGGGCACAGCACAGGGCACAGGGCGCCTCTCGGGGCACGGCCCGGGGCGGCTGCGGGCTGCGGTGTCCCCCGCAGAGGCAGGGACAGGAGCCATGGAGCCAGGGGCAGCGGGAGGTGTTCCCAGGCGAGCAGGGAGGCACAGCCACGGCGCCCCGGTGATGCTCGGTGCCGTGCCCGCAGCTGGACCCAGAGAACACCGGCTTCATCGGCGTGGAGACCTTCGCCAGCCTGGTGCACAGCCATGAGCTGCCCCTGGACCCCGCCAAGCTCGACATGCTGGTGGCCCTGGCACAGGGCAACGACGAGGGCCAGGTCTGCTACCAGGAGCTGGTAGACCTGGTCAGTGCCGGGCGGGGATGGGCACGGGGCGGGTGCCAGCCTGGGGAGGGGGCGGGCGGCGGCCGTGGCCGGGGTCTCCCCTGGCGGGGGTGGCACCGCGGCCTCGGGGTGGCTGCTCCGGGCTGTGGCACCGGGGGTGGCACCGGGGGGTGGTCCCGGGCCGGGGGTCCCGAGCTGCCCCCGGGCACGGCCTCTCCCCGCAGATCAGCAGCAAGCGCTCCAGCAGCTTCAAGCGCGCCATCGCCAACGGGCAGCGAGCCCTGCCCCGCGATGTCCTGTTGGACGAGACCGGCCTCGGCATCTACAAACGCTTCGTCCGCTACGTGGCCTACGAGATCCTGCCCTGCGAGATGGACCGGCGCTGGTACTTCTACCAACACCGCACCTGCCCCCCGCCCGTGTTCATGGCCGCCGTCACCCTCACCCAGGTGCGGGCACGGGGCGGCCCCGCCGGTCCCGGCTGGAGAGCTCGGCAGGGATCGGACTCGGGGAGGGCAGGGGGTGAGCCTGGCTGGGAGCTCCTCTGCACACAGAGCTGGTGTGAAGGGATCTGTGAGCCTGGCTGGGAGCTCCTGGGCACACAGAGCTGGCATGACGTGATCTGTGAGCCTGGCTGGGAGCTCCTCTGCACACAGAGCTGGCGTGAAGGGACGTGTGACCCTGTGTGACCCTGGGTGTGACATCTCTGTGCCCACATGTGTGGCTCAGACCTGGGGCAGTGGGGCTGGGTGGTCCCAGTTGTGCTGTTCTGGTGCCCACAGAGGGGCTCAGATATGGGGTGAGGGGTTGGGTGACCCCCATGGTGATGTCCTGGTGTCCACGGTGGTGCTGAGATCCCGGACAGAGGGGATGGGTGACCCCAGTTGTGATGTCCTCGTGCCCATGGATGGGACCCATGGATGGGACCCATGGATGGGACCCAGGGAGGGGCTCAGATCCAGGGTAGAAGGGATGGGTGACCCCAGCTGTGATGTCCAGGTGCCTTTGAGGGACTCACACCTGGGGTGAAGGGATGGAAGACCCTGTTTGTGATGTCCGTGTGCCCACAGGTGTGACCCACGCCCAGGGCAGTGGGGATGGGTGACCCTGGTGCCCGTGTGGGGCTCAGATGTGGGGTGCAGGGGGGTGACAAGCACGGGGTTTGTCACAGATCATCGTGTTCCTGTGCTATGGGGCCCGGCTGAACAAGTGGGTGCTGCAGACCTACCACCCCGAGTACATGAAGAGCCCCCTGGTCTATCACCCCGGGCACCGGGCGCGCGCCTGGCGCTTCCTCACCTACATGTTCATGCACGTGGGGTAGGTCCTGCCGGGGGGGGCACAGGGGGACACCCCGGGGCTGCACAGGCTGAGCCCCCCTGTCCCCTCCTGTGCCCGGGCAGGCTGGAGCAGCTGGGGTTCAACGCCCTCCTGCAGCTGATGATCGGGGTGCCCCTGGAGATGGTGCACGGCATCCTGCGCATCAGCTTCCTCTACCTGGCCGGGGTCCTGGCAGGTGGGTGCTGCCCTGGGGGGGACTGTCCCCATCCCGCTGTCCATCCCTGTCACCAGCCCGGGGAGGGCACGGGGAGGGGCACTCTGAGTTTGGTGGGGCCGCTGGGCTCTGCTGGCAGTGCCAGCGTCACTTGGCCGGGGGCTGGGGGGCAATGCAGGCTGTAATTAATTAATGTAGACAATAATTAATTAATGCTGTGAGCCCTGTCTGTGCCCCCAGGCTCCCTCACCGTCTCCATCACGGACATGAGGGCCCCCCTGGTCGGGGGCTCGGGGGGGGTCTACGCCCTCTGCTCTGCTCACCTCGCCAATGTCGTCATGGTCAGCCCGGGGACAAGGGGACACGGGGGGGACAGGGGTGGATGGCTTTGTAGGGTGGGCAGCATGCTGGGGGATGCCATGGGGTGACAATGGGCATGGGAGCTGTCTGCAGGTTGGGCAGGGTGGTGGGACACTATTAGGGGGGATGCCATGGGGTGGCTGGCACTGTGGGGTGGGCAGCAGTGGTGGGGGGATGCTCTGGGTGGCATTAGGGGTGGCATTAGGGGTGGCACTGTGACAGGGGGACATCATGGGTGACATCATGGGGTGGGTGTGGGTGGGGAGGAGCTGGGGCCTGAGGGGGCTCCATGGAGCACTCCAGGGGCTCTGGCAGAAGCCCCCACCTCAGTGCAGGAGCATCACTGGTGCCAGCTCATCATCCATCCATCCATCCATCCATCCATCCATCCATCCATCCATCTCTCATCCATCCATCCATCATCCATCCATCATCCATCCATCCATCCCCCATCCATCCATCCATCCATCCCCCATCCATCCCCCATCCATCCATCCATCCATCCATCCATCCATCCCTCATCCGTCCATCCCTCATCCGTCCATCCATCCATCCATCCATCCATCCATCCATCCATCCATCCATCCATCATCCATCCATCCCCCATCCATCCCCCATCCATCCATCCATCCATCCATCCATCCATCCATCCATCCATCCATCCATCCATCCCTCCATCCCTCCATCCCTCCATCCCTCCCCATCCCTCTCTCCCTCCATTCCCGCAGAACTGGGCCGGGATGCGCTGTCCCTACAAGCTGCTGCGGATGGTGCTGGCGCTGGTGTGCAGTGAGTACCGCCCCCCGTTCCCCCGGCCGCGCTGTCCCGCCGCGGGCTCAGCCGCTGCCCTGTCCCGCAGTGAGCTCCGAGGTCGGTCGCGCCGTCTGGCTCCGCTTCTCTCCGCCGCTGCCGGCCTCGGGCCCCCAGCCCAGCTTCATGGCGCACCTGGCGGGGGCCATCGTGGGCATCAGCATGGGGCTGACCATCCTGCGCAGCTACGAGGAGAGCCTGCAGGACCAGTGCGGCTGGTGGGTGCTGCTGCTGTCCTACGGCACCTTCCTGCTCTTCGCCGTCTTCTGGAACATCTTCGCCTACGACCTGCTGGGGGCACAGATCCCCCCCCCGCCCTAGCCCGCCGCCCCCCGCCCCAACCCCGCGGCTGATTAGGTTTCCGAGCCCCCGGTGGAGGGGCTGGGGGGGTCCCCGCGCGCGACATGGGGACAGGCCACCCCCCGCCCGCCTGTCCCCTCGGTGCTAGCGATCGCGCCGCCCCCCGCCCCGGGCTGCGCCCCGCGATGTCCCCTGCCGCCCCCCCGCCCTAGCCCCGTCCCCAAAGGAGCTTCAGCCCTGCCCCGGCACCGCCAACGCCCCCGGGGTGCCCGCAGGGCTCGGAACGCGCCCCTCGGGAGGGAGCCGGGCCAGCGGGACCCCCCCGGCTCCCGGACCCCCCTTCCCAGGGTGGGGGCCGCTTGTTGCCCCCCAGGACCTGCACTTTCACACCAAGGACTGGTGCCAAAAGAGGAGCGATTTATTTTTCTATGCCAAAATAAATATAAATAAAAGAAAGAGGAATTTAACAAGAAGAAGGATATGGGGAGAGCCCGGCAGGAACCAGCTGAGACCGGCACGACTCGTTTTGGCGGTGCCCTCGGCGGCACAGCCCCCCCGCCCCGCCCCGGCCCTCGCCGCCCTCCCGGGACAGGGGCTGGCCCCGGGATGGGGGCGCAGGGGGTCCCCGCTCTAACCCCCCCCAGACCTTTTTGGAGTATAAATAAATATTTTGCACACTGCGGGCTCGTGTCTCTGTCGGGGGAGGGGGTTTTGGGGTGCCCCCGTCCCTGATGGAGGCAGTGCGGGTGCCGGGGCTGGCTGGCCCGGGGGTGGGGGGGGGCACAGCCGGGCTCGGGGCTTACTGGAGCAGAAAACTCCGGGATCAGTGGAGCGGCACCCGGCCGAGCCCCCGGGGCTGGCAGCGCGGGGGGCACCGAGGTGCGGGGGGTGGGCACGGAGACACCCCGGGCCCTCCCCGCCCCGCCCTGCCCGCTGCACGCACCAGCGCCGGCTGCAGGCACCGAGCCCCCCTCACACCCCGCACCCCCATTCACACCCACACCCCAGCCCGCCCCCCACCCCCATCAGCTCCACCGCGTCTCCTCCCTGGACTCTCACACCCCCAACACCCCTTTGCACCCCTGGCCCCTCCAGCCAGGCCCCTCACCCATCCTCCTGTGTGCCCTTCTCCCACCAAACCCCGTTTGACCCCATAAACCGCCCCCCAATCCCTCCCTCCCTCCCTCCATCCATCCATCCATCCATCCATCCATCCATCCATCCATCCATCCATCCATCCATCCATCCGTTCAACCTCATAAACCACACTCTGGCCACGCCCACTCGCTACTGACCACGCCCCTACCGTCCTCTGCCTCTCAGCCCCGCCCCCTTTCCAGACGCGCCCCGTACCAACCCCTGCCCGACAGACCACGCCCCCAAAATCTAGCCCCGCCCCTTATTCCATCAACCCCGCCTTCCGCTCGGCATCCCGTTCCTGCCCGGAGGCCCCGCCCCCTCCCCACAAGCCCCGCCCCCTCCAGCCCTGCCCCAGCCCCCGCCCCCAGCCCCCGCCCCTGTCGCGCGCCCCGCCCCGCCCCGGAAGCGGCACTGTCGCAGTGCGCGGCCGGAGCGGCGGAGCCGGAGCCGCCGGGGCCGCCCGAGCCAGCGGAGCCGCGGCTCCAGCGCCGGCCCGGGCCGCGCCATGAAGGGCAAGGAGGAACGCGAGGGCGGCGCGGCGGGGCCCGGCGCGGCGGGGCCGGGCGCGGGGGGCGCGGGCGGCGGCAGCCCCGAGAAGAGCCACAGCGCGCAGGAGCACAAGGAGCAGGGGAACCGGCTCTTCGGCGGCCGCAAGTACCCCGAGGCCGCCGCCTGCTATGGCCGCGCCATCGTGAGTCCCAGCGGCCCGAGCGGGAGCCGCCTCCGGGACGGGAGCACCGGGGAGGGGACACCCGCACTGCCATCCCCAGGGGCCTGGCCTGGGCACCCCGGGACGCGACTTCCCGGGGACGGGACACAGCGACCTCCCCCTGGCCTCGATGGCCCAGGCTGGAACCTCCCCCTCGGCCTGGACACCCTTCCGAGCTGGCCTGGCCAACCCTGGGGTGGGATCCCCAGGGAATGACATCCCCACCACACACCGGGCCTTGACGCCCGCACGATGGGCCTTCCCCCAGGCTGGACATGTCCCGAGCCCTGGCCTGGGTATCACCAGGGTGGAACCTCCTTGGGCTGGGCACTGTTCTTCCTCAGGGCCTGGTCAAGATGCCTCTGAGATGGGACACTGTTCCCCCACTGGGCCTGGCTCCTCCTGGGAGAACCAGACACAGCTCTGGGCCTGATTCACCCTCCCGGGCCTGGACTGCCACCCCTAGGCCTGCCCCAGGCACTCCCCGGCCCTGCCCTCTCTCAAGCCCATCCTGCCCCCCACTCAACTCCAAGCCCTGCACCCTCCCCCCCCCCGAGTTTCCCCCAAGCCCTGCACTGTCCCTGGGCTGTGCTGGCTAGGGCAGAGCCACCCTGGGACAGTCGGGGTGCCAGGGGGACAGTCCCCTCTGGGGGCAGGGACAAGGGCTGCCCTATGGGGACCGGCCCCAGCCTGTCCCCAATCCATGGCAGCACCTCCCCACGGGGTGCACGCCCTGGCTGGCACTGCTGGCCCTCCCTGCCCAGGGTGACAGCGCCGTGCCTCTGGCTCACCGAGTCACCCGGCTGTCACCCAGCCCGTCCTGGCCCTGCCACCGCCACCAACATGGGCCTGTCCCCGCAGAACCGGAACCCCTTGGTGGCCGTGTACTACACCAACCGGGCCCTGTGCTACCTGAAGATGCAGCAGCACGACAAGGCACTGGCCGACTGCAAGCGGGCGCTGGAGCTGGACGGGCAGTCGGTGAAGGCTCACTTCTTCCTGGGCCAGTGCCAGATGGAGATGGAAAACTACGACGAGGCCATCGCCAACCTGCAGAGAGGTGAGCGGGCACGCTGCCACTGTCCCCTGTTTCTGTCTGTCTGCTGGGAAAGGGCCAGGGAGGGTGACAGGGACGCTGCTGTTGGTGCTGAGGTGCCCTTTCTCTCCTCAGCCTACAACCTGGCCAAGGAGCAGCGGCTGAATTTCGGGGACGACATCCCCAGCGCGCTGCGCATCGCCAAGAAGAAACGCTGGAACAGCATCGAGGAGAAGCGCATCAACCAGGAGAACGAGCTGCACTCCCACCTGACCAAGCTGATCGTGGCCGAGAAGGAGAGGTACCGGGGCTCCTGGAGAGGCTTTTTGAGCACCACCAGGCTGTGACAGCTCTGTGTGAGGTGTCCCTGCAGCAGGGAAGGGAGTGACAATGTTCCCCATCCTGCTGATCTCCCGCTCTGTCCTAGGGAGCTGGCGGAGTGCCGAAAGACTCAGCAGGAGGAGAACACAGATGAGAGCCGGAGCCGTGTTCAGCTGGCCAGCATCGAGGCCAAACACGTGAGTGGGGGGCTGGGGCTTCCTCATCCCATCCCCATCCTCATCCTCATGCTCTGCTGCAACCAGGGAAGCTGCAGGGCTGTAGCTGTGCAGGTGAAAGCTGGGAGACCTTGGGACACACCACAGTAGCCTTCATTCTGTAGCTCGAGCCACCACTGCAGGGCTGTTGTGTCCCCCTGTGATGGCTTCCCCTGCTCTGTCACCTCTTGTCCCAGCCTGGCAGCGGTGACACCTGCTGTGCCTATTGTTCCCTGAGGAAATATAAGTGCCTCTCGACCTCATGTGGGTCTGGGTGCTGGGGACTAATCCCAGATAAAAATAGGCCCACAGAGGAAAGGTTATTTGTAAGCTGGATCACTCCTGCCAGGTTCAGCCAGGAGCTGCACAGGCAGAGGGGCCACCAAGGACCTGCCCCAACACCCATGGTGGGAGACTTTGGGGCCCTCCCTGGGGCCCTGTAGCCCCTGCACGCTGGGGACCCCTTGTCCTCAAGGGCTTCTCTTTCAGGACAAATACCTGGCAGACATGGACGAGCTCTTCTCCCAAGTGGATGAGAAGAGGAAGGTGAGTGTGGCTGAGCCTGTGCTCCTGTAAACCTGCTGTGCACCCTGCTCCCTGCTCTGATCCAGCACCACCTCCCAGCCCACTTTCCTGACCCAGCTATGCCTCTCTCGAGCCAGAAGCGGGACATCCCTGACTACCTGTGTGGGAAGATCAGTTTTGAGCTGATGAGAGAGCCCTGCATCACGCCCAGTGGGATCACCTACGACAGGAAGGACATTGAGGAGCATCTCCAGGTACCACCGGGCCAGGGGCAGGGGGCTTTCCCAGGACCTTGCCTGGGTGGGAAGGCATCTTTTTGCTTAACTCAGGGCTCTGCAGGCTCCCTGGGTTTGCTCCCAGTTACCTGCCCGGGCAGCTCCTTGTGGAGCAGGCGCTGCCGGGCCCTGCCCAAAGCGGAGGCGGCTCTTGGCAGGGGTCTCACACCTCGGCCTGCCCTCATCCTGCTGGGAGGCACCTTGCAGGGGCTCTCCCCTTGCCACGGGCAGGTGCCCGGCTGCTGGGGCAGATGCCACACGGCGCTGGCCTCACGGCCACCCGCGCCCCGGGGCCGAGCCCGGGCACGTGGAGTAACCGGTTCCACCGCGCCTCCTCCTCCCCTGCAGCGCGTGGGGCATTTTGACCCGGTGACGCGGAGCCCCCTGACCCAGGACCAGCTGATCCCCAACCTCGCCATGAAGGAGGTGATAGACGCGTTCATCTCAGAGAACGGCTGGGTGGAGGATTACTGAGGGACCGGGGCCGCCCGGTGCCCTGGCACAGCCGGCTCTCCCCGGGCTGGCACCGTGCCTTACTCGCTCTCCGGCTGTCCCTGCTCTGCCCCGGCTGCCCCGGGCCTGGCGCTGGGCGAGGGCACGTCACCATGTCCCCTTCCCGAGGAGCCGCAGCGGCTGGGCGGGCACCACGGCTCCCCGGCTCCCCTGTCCCGCTCCAGGAGCTGCCCGGGGGTTGGAATGCTAGCTCCTCGGCAGTGGCCTCACCACCATGTCTGTCACCCCCTCAGCCAGGGCAGCCACAGTCCCCACAGAGCACGTCCCGCTCCAGGGATTGCCACAGG